TTTTCTTCACAAAGGAGAACACGTTACTGTTGCGCACATAATATTATGTATTGTAACATGCTAGCTTATTTATGACGATGGTTTAACCTTGTAGCCCCGTCGTCCTTTTCAGATGGAATATCCGAATTCTTTCACTTTTCAAGACGATAGTGAATACAGTATAATTATGCTCAATTACAATGCATTTATATCATTATCATGAACTGGCAGTGAGCGTGTTGATAAGATCAGCAAGCACAATTACGACTTTAGACCTAGACGTGACATCGATGATGACAGAACTGTTTAGAATAGAGATTAAAGGAAACAGATGTGTGAATAGGAGTTGAGAACAATTATAATGAATTTAAAGTTAAGGGGGTGATATGATAAGATGGTTATATAAATACTCATGTTTTTAAAAAGTTTGCATTCAAGCACTTTCAGATAAGTGTTTCTACATGTTGACGTTAGTAATAGCTTCCTCTACTCAAATGAGGTTGGTGTTAGCCTATTCTGTTTTTGTGTAGATCGATAGCTCTAGAAACAGTCTACAAAGATAAAACATTGACAAACTTAATAAATTTTAAACTACAGTGGTTATATTCTATACATACATCTTTTACCATGCTTATTCCTTTAAAAATCCAACTAGAAATGAAGTTGTGGAGAAAAAAAATAACATGTACAGATATTCTGACACTTGATCCTCGGACCCGAGTCAAGAGGAATCAGCTTACTCATGATACTGTATTCTTTGCCTCATGAGGAACAGTCTCAACCTCCCGAATCGTGCACCCACTGCCTGCATTCTCACGGTCGTGTCAAAACATATCACGATTTCCATAACACCTGGTAACAATTCTGGTGGCGATGGTGAAATTAGTTATAATGCAAATCCAACCAGTTGCAACTGGAAAGATGCACTTTAGATAGAAAACTTATTAACGCAGTATGGCTATGGTGAGGCAGAGAAAGAGCTCAGGATAAAGGTGATGAAAGTAGAGAGGATAGTTGAGAAACAGTAGCTATGAAAAAAATAAAGAGAGGGAGAGGGGGATAGGGAGAGAGAGAGAGAGAGAGAGAGAGAGAGAGAGAGAGAGAGAGAGAGAGAGGGAGATAGGGGGGGGGGAGATGGTGGAATGAAAAGATCGTAAAATAGGAGTAAAATAATAGTATGAAGAGCAGAGTTTTGGAGAAATGACTGTTTCTTAGAGATTTGCTATATTCTTTCCAAAAATAAGGCGTCCATAAGTTGTGTCTAATGTGATTTTAAAATAATTGTACAATATAATGACACCCAGGCAAACTATAGATTTACATACAAAAAGTACATTACCTTTTCTATCCATATCGTTAAGATAATTTGTGTGGAGCTGTACTAGGTTAGCAATCATAATATTATCACCTTGAGATCAGTAGACCTTGAAATGTTACATGATTACGTGCATAACATGCTGTATGTACATGGCATTTTCTCAAACATTCAGAATGTTGAAATATTACAGTCAATGCTATTAGCAAGCTCTGGGGTAAAGGCAACAGTTTTTCTTTTGAAGTGCATAAGCAAAACCTTACTGCTAATATCGCTTATAACCAAATGCATCTTGGGCCTCAGTAGCTATCTGAGAACAAAAGACAGCAAAACAGACATAACCGTATTATCATGACACCACTAAAATTTTGAACAACTCAATTCTCTGGGCTATTTGAACATTGGAAGATTTTAGAACCGTCTTGTCCCTCTGTCATCATTAATTAATTGGCAATATGTTCAAACTTTCAATTATATATATATGTCACTGTAATCGTATAAATAGTTAAACGTTCACGTACTGATATTTTTAATGTTCTAATATCATTTTAAGGAACATCTGAAAACGTAATAGTAAGTAATAAATGATAAAGAAAAAAAACCCCACTTCGAAAGGTAGTGGTCATCAAGACCAGATAATAAGATGCGCAATATTCATGGTCAGTTGAAAAAGCCATGTATTCATGAGCACCCCTTGTCAATGAGAAGAGCGGGAAAAGTCGTCTATTCTGGTATGAAATTCGTTGGGGTTCTAAACAAAGACAAAGATTTTTAAAAAGAGCCTAACAATAGCGAGGTGCGAGAGCCTAAAAATGAGTATTTTTTAAAAGCAAAATTCATGTTCCACAAAGGTAATTAAAAATGAACTATACTACTTTAGAGTGGTTTTTGCACAAATACCTTGTGAATTCTACTTTAAAATGGTTTGGAAATACAATGATAAAGGCCTGAATAACTCAAATCAATTTTTTTAAAAAAGATCCCAATATTGCCTATTTTGACCTGTATGGTGGCTCGGCTGCCAAGGATTTATCCTGGTTACCCCAGATCGACACACTTCTGGGAAAAGTTCGTAAAAAGTTCTCCTGAAAATGAAAGTCAAGTAATTCAGTGTTCATCTATATCGCAAACATGCCTTTCTTTTTCCTAAAGCTAAGAATGAAACGAGATTTGTGTATTTGTTGGTTTGCTATAGTGATACAATAACAAGCCATGGGTCACTCTAAGGACTTGAAAGACATTTTAAAAGAAAAGAATACTACGTTCAGAGACAATAAAAAATAATGAGAAAGTAACACGTTTGTCACCAGAAATAGTGCGGAAAGTACGGGACTGGTATAATACAAAGAGTACTGAGAAAAACAAGCGAAAGAATTCTAAGATAAGAACAAAAAAAACAACACCATACGTGTCATGACGCGGTGGGATCTAATTATAAATGTGAAAATTGAGAAATCTTCAGGCCCATAAAAACTTAAGGGGAGAGTGCTGAGGTAATGTTGTGACAAGTGTACTCCAACAGTTACCCCCCTTCTCTACATGTTTTTACTTTGTCAAAGTATGTCATTCTCGTGGAACACAGCACAAGTCGTGCTTCCGCCCGAAAAGTTTCGCATTTTATCTCTGAATGAAGAAGAAGTAGAAGAAGAAGAAGAAGAAGAAGAAGAAGAAGAAGAAGAAGAAGAAGAAGAAGATGCTAGACTTCTTTCAACACCACCTAGTTTGATTTTTTGTTCCTTCTACGGCATTCTCAACAGTCTCCAAATGAACCCAATTCTGTTTCTTCTACTTTACATTCACAATCTGTAGTAATTGCCCAGTATTCACAGTCATATAGAAGGGTTGACCACGTATATCCATTTAAAGCCCGTTAACTCATTTTGGCGAAAACATCTGTTATCTTATTTTCTTTAACTTTATGTATTGATTCCTTGGTATCTATACTTTTTAACTCGCTCGATCTGCTCCTATTTTGGTATGAAATTGTTTTTATTTCGATATTGCAATACATCGTTATATTTACATCTAAAAATAACTCCTTTCGTTCACTTTAGTCATAATGGCATTTAGAAACAACTGAAAGTATGAGTATGTAATTGAGAATGTGCTTTTGATGTTTTCTCTGTTTACCTAGGGACCTGGACTTTCTTATAACATTTCTTTTTAGGATTGCTTACTGTATCACATCATGCAGTTCCAGATCGGAAGCCGACTTCGACGCTCTTAGTTTGTCATTCATTTCTTTCTAAGATGCTCCTAAAACATGTTATTGTTCCTGAGTTTGTTTTGCCAACCATCCCGCTGTAAGTGGCATCCCATTAAGATTCTATGTCATTCAATGACCACTCAATATTATGGTGCAAAACTTTAAGGTTTAAATGTGCATGTGTGCTAATTTCATAGCTGTAGCTATACTGACACGTCTTATAGACAAGGGAAACTTATTAAATGGACCTGTACATATTTGAATTGTTGAGCATGTTTGATCTGTTTGTCTTTGCATTTTATAACAGTTCTTCCGTCAAAGTCAAAGGCTGACCAATACATCTTCGGAAGAGATTATTTTAAAGGGAACTAAAAGAGACAAAAGATCCGTGGATTCTTCTGTAGCCAATGAGATCATTTCTGCCTGAGAAATTTGCCACACTATGAACAAATTAAAAGCTTTGCTTCTACATAATATGTGCAGCTTGCAGGGTTCTCTCTTGACTACAGCCTTTGTGAAGTCTTATACGGATTGCTGCTCTGGGTTGCAGCTCTCTAACTGGGTATGTCGGAATTTAGGCTAAATCATGCCAAGGGGTTGTTGATGTCGAGGTTCTCCAGAGACTTTTTGTAGGGTTTCTTTTCAACGATTGTTTTGGTTATTCAACTTTAATCTTCCTCAGAAACGAACACTGCTTTTAAAATTCTGAAATTAGACATTCTTACGACGTTGTCAGACTGACTCATTGACATTTGCTTTTTTTAGAACTTTGGTTTCCGGTGTCTTATCCTTCTATTTGATATTTTCATGTAAAAATAATTGAACTTCTTGGTTTGACTTTGGTGCATTGTCCAAGTCTCAGCAACGTACAACAGGGTTGAGAGGACAACGGCCTTTTAGATTTTCAACTTCGTCATTGTGCAAATGTCACAGCAGCCCCAAGCCTTTGCCCTCCTATAATAATAATAATAATAATAATAATAATAATAATAATAATAATAATAATAATAATAATAATAATAATAATAATAATAATAATAATAATAATAATAATAATAACAATAATAATAATAATAATAATAATAATAATGTGTAGATTAGAGCATTTATCCTGAAGAGTTCGAATTTTCCAGCGTCCAATTTTCAACAATTTTGTTTTCTTTTTGCGACCGCCTTGTGGTATACCTTAGGATTGGGGGCAAGCAGTCTTGTTTGATCAAGTGAGCTTTCTTTAGGGCTCCTTTTTATAGCCCCTTTCCCATAATGCGGGATGAGCGGTGCTGTCCTAAAAAGGCTGCTCGGGTACTAAGGTCTAACTACCAAACTAAATCGTCATCTCAACTCGGTAATGAAACGATCGAAACCTATGGTCACAATATATGCAAGTTTGTACCAACAGCTCCACCCCATGTAGGTCTGCTACCACCGTATTCACCCATCGCCGAAAGGATTAGAGTTAAATGGGGATAAAGGACAAAAACAATGCAACGGATATATTGATTCAGGTGGTTGACTTGCGCTAAGGTTCACTGAAGTGAGAAAGATCGGCACAAACAGCAGACTCATTTTCTCGCCTTGGGTACAATGTATCTGATGGCAGATTTTGAAAATGTACACTTATTGTATTTATCTACTTGCACATTTTAGTTCTTCAACGGATTTCATCATTGCGAATGGCCAGTTGTGAACATGTAAAAAGTTATTTTTCTTCTTCTTTATTTCAAGATTACCCAAGCATTACTAGCCATAAATCAGGAAAAGATTCGATTAGTGCAAGCTCTTGAATTCCACATAGTCGATAATGAGAGCTGAGTTGTGGCCATTCCATGTTTTATGCCAGTTGTTGTGATCGTTCCAGAACTGCTCCATGGCTTGCGGAGAGTTGTTGGTCCAGGGTTTGTTCTTGCCATTGTACGTGCCGTCTGGGAAGTAGCCGTTGGTGCCGCCGACCGCCACGTTCAGGATCATGTGGAACTGACAGGTGGAGGAAAGTACAAGACATGTGAACATGTCCAGGTACAGGGATTATCATACAACAAGATGCCACCCCATTTTTGCAATATGATGCTGTTGTTATTCCTGTTACGGCTATTATTGCTGTTATTGTTATAGTTGCCATCAATATTTAAAGAACATGATGAATAATAAAGGAATACATCTGGGTGGACATAAGGACAACGATCTCAGATACGCCGATGATACTGTTTTAGTTGTAAAATCAGAACATCCCATTCTAAAACACTGTTGCAGAATAAATTGCAAGGAAATATCTTGCACTAGATATTTAAAATGAGAGCGCATGACCATTTCCTAAAAGGTTCAGGCTCCACTATGCAGTCAGTAATGAGAAACAAATGGAACAAGCCAACACGTTTTGATACCTTGGTTATACAATAACATAAAATCGAAACAGGACATCAGGAGTCAACAGACAAGCAGGAAAAGATACTTTTAAAATGTTGTTCCGATCATGTCCAACATTTCAGTGGCTACAAACTCAGAATATTTTATTGAAAGCGTACATTTGAACTGCGTTGGGATTCAAACATTATACGAAGGGAAATTTGACATTTAAATCCAGTTTTTCAAGATATTTGGGTTTTCATAATTTACAAATATGTAATAAGGACTTAGAAATAGCACTTGCTGCTATAATAAAACACAAGACTCAAGTTGACTTGAATTCGTAAGTTCAAACCAAGTTTCTGTTCTTTTTATGCGTTTCATGCCCTTGCTTTTAGGACATAAATGTATACAAACTCATCGTATACAGAATGGCTTAAACATGACGCCGCATTCATCATGTCTTTATAATTCCGGAAATGATTACCTCATGGTGGAAATTAATCAGTTGAAGGTTATTGCAAAAAACAAGAAAATAAATAGAAATCTTAATAGCTTCCTTGAACTCTACGGACAAGACAAAAGTTAATTTATGATGAGCCTCCTCCTATTCCTTGTCGACAAAAATTCTTTTCAATGTGTAAAGATAGTGATCTTACTTCCTGGTCAAAGGGGGCCATTTTTCCTCCAGAACTCCATATGTTGTTCCCGCCGAAACCTCCATAACTCCAGAAGCTGCTACCAGGATCAACTCTCAAAACTTCCTGATTGTCACAAGTCGTTCTGAAACGACAGAGGAGAGTTTTTTTCAACAGAAACAAGTACCGGTACACACACACACGACAAGCAAACACACAAAAACACACTCAGACTAACAGAGAGACAGACAAAAAAGAGAAGGTCAGAGAGAGAGAGAGAGAGAGAGAGAGAGAGAGAGAGAGAGAGAGAGAGAGAAAAAGCAAAGAAAGAAAGAAACAGGTTTAAGCGATGGAGGAAGAGAAAGAGGGAGAAGTACCGTCCTTTTTATCATGCCTATGACTACATGTCTACTCAAAGTTCGCGCCTGTCGTAGCCAGAAATTATCCCCGAGTTTATGAGCAGCCCAACTAGCAGTGATCTACTACAGAGACGTAGCTTGTGGAGCCGGCTGGAAATCATGCAATAAACGAGAACAACCTGAATAAATTGCCACATGTAAATTACTGTAGACATACAAATAAACCCTCCCGAACGCATATCTTGTCAGCTCGCTCATTTTAATGACCTTCTGTTCATATCTCACTCCAGAACACAGCGGTTGTAACAAGGGGAGGTCATAATTTCTTATTTTATATTATCATCCTTCCCCCTAGAGGTCTCTGAACGTATAAATTGAATTTTCGGGTCGTAAAGCTGATCAAGAGACCCTGGTTCCACCTTCATAAGTCGTTTCCTATCACATGGAATATGGGCTGGGCGCTATCTGGTTCATGCAAACCTGGGTGCTTCTATCTCTTCTCTCTTCGATTGAAGAAGAAGAAGAAGAAGAAGAAGAAGAAGAAGAAGAAGAAGAAGAAG